GTGAATACTTCTTTTGCCCGAGGGCCAAATAAAAAGAATTATGTGTGTGTGTGGGGGGGAGGGGGGGGTGAGGGTTCTTTCTCTGCTCATGAGCCAGCGATGAAGACACGCTCAACGATATGAGAACAAAGCGCTCACCAGCCTGCATGACATCAGAAGTTAAAAATGGTATTATCACCTTTAGCCTCACGCGATCCAGTTCGCCGATTTGATTTTTGAATTTTGAAAGAGGCGCACTTGTCTGTGTCTCCGTTTAGTGGGTGACGGGAGGTTGGCGGGTGCTTTTCTGATGTGGTTTGGTCCTTCTTTCCAACCAAACATCATTATATGGTCTGCAACTCTCCTTCTTTTTTTCCCGCATTTTTAATTTTTTTGTTGAGCTTACTATCTTTGGCATTTATATGACCTAATGGTGTAGCAAGTGCAGTAAAATGCTTATTAAAACCTTAGTCTCCTTTTAGCAAGAAGCTGCCTCACGAAGTTGCACCAGTTTTACACTACGGTAAAGAAAAGCGTACAACAATATAACATTATTAGCTGAAGGGATACGTCTTAGTTTTAGTTTTAGTAAGAGTCTTACGGCACTTGAAACGAAATAATGTCATATAGTTGCCGAAGATTATATCTAGATTCTAGACGTGTTACAAAAAGGTAATTAACACAAAAAAAGATAGAAAAGAACGATTGATGTTTGATGGAAAGAAAAAGGAGCAAACCACACCAGAGCACCCGCCAACCGCCCACTGTGGGGTAAGCGACGCATTTGTTGTGCCCTTTAAAAGCAAGCAGACAAGTCGGCGATTGGGGATTTTGAGATTATGAACTTTGTACTTTTTGCTCCTCGGGTAAATTCGAGGTTTCGTTTGGTATTGCTGGGAGTTTTATGGCTCTTGCAACACGGTCAAGGATGTAATTATACAGTAAGTTTGTAAGATCCTTAGTCATAAGTAAATGCCGAAAGGTCCGAATCGTTTTTCTCTTTCTTTCTTCATGAAATTAATAGTTTCTATGATTCTGTCAGCTGTGTGTCCAAATCGGGGAACCGAAACCTTTTTCCTTCGTAAATAAGAGTACAGGAGAAGAAAAAAAAAGGAAGAACAAAAAGAGGAGGAAGAAGAAGCAAAAGAGCGACGATAACAAACAATACCAGCGACGACGACAACGCCACCAACAACAACAAATGTGTCTGTGTGTGTGTGTGTGTCTTGAAGTGGTAGATCTAATGTTAGTGAGTGCAGCCACTGGCCCGGCCAGTTGTTCGTATATGATACGGTGTGTGTGTGTGTGTGTGTGTGTGTGTGTGTGTGTGTGTGTGTGTGTGTGTGTGTGTGTGTGTGTGTGTGCACGTCTGGTGGTTGGCAGATGGTCTAGTGTGGTTTGCTCCTTCTTCACTATCATGATCAAACATCTACCGTCCTTATGTCTCCTCCTTCTTTTCTTAGTATATTATTCTCTTAAATTGTAGCTTAACACCTCAAATCTTCTGCGGAACTTAAAGTTATAGGATCTAATTGTGTTGCAAGTGTGTAAAACTCTTACTGAATCTTAAGACAGACAGACAGACAGACAGACAGACAGACAGACAGACAGACAGACAGACAGACAAAACATAACAGTAATAATAATAATAATAATAATAATAATAATAATAATAATAGATAGCATTAGTATAGCGCAAATCCCCGCTCAACGGCAAGCTCAATGCGCTTCACAATCTATATTAATACCCCAGCAGACCTGAGAGCATTCTGACAACCTCAACTTCCTGGGAAGCATACAGTGCAAGCAGCCATTTATAGGCGCTAAAACTTAAACACTAACATACTGACAAGATCTTTCGTTGTCTATAAGAAGCATTGAAATAACACAATGGTACTTTCGTAGTGCAGGGCGATAAGCAGAGACAGACGGTGAAGACAGACAGAAAAAACGACTACCATCAACAACACTGATGAAAATGCTACTGATTCCGGATCAACACAGGAGGATTTAGAAGGTATTGAGAAAGATAACGATGACGTGTTGTTTCAAGAGCCAGGGGCAACGACCTGTGAAAGAAAGATCGGGGGAAATATATATGATTTTTTTAAAATATTTAAGTGGACACATATTCAGAGAGAAAGAGAAAGAAAGGAGAGAAAGGGACAGAGGGGGGGGAGGGACAGGGAGA